AACTGAATTAACACTGTGTTGCATTTCTTAGTAATCATTGAAAGAGGCGATTTGCAAACTGGAAACATAGGAAAGTCATAGAACACCACCAAGGAGAAGGAATAGAAATAGTGTTTTATTTTTTAATTTATAATCGTTATTATGGGCAACCTAATGCGGCTATGAGTAAGGCTATTTGTAGAAAACACTAAAAAACAAGATCGCCTTTTAAATATGATAAGATATTTACAAGAGATGTTGATCATATCGATTTGTTATGTACATCTTCAGTAACTCCATAATCTTTGCGTCGAATCTTTTAAAGTCATCAGAAATTATGACTGTCATTCGTTTTAAAATAACGCCTGTAAACTTAGCAATTGCTCGAATTCGAGCAACATGTACACTAGTAGGAAATAAATCTGCCAATATTAAGGAAATAATTCAGTGGAATTCCAGCCAGGTAGATGGAAATTCGCTTAGTCTGCAGGTTGGCTGCGGCGGGGGTATTTTAACTGTTTGTAAATATGTTAAGGAAGACATGGGATAATGGACTAAGTTCGACATAATTCGTGAATTAATCGACGTTAGTATCTCACAAGATCAGAATTTGGACAGTTCCTTAAAGAAAAAATGGCGTACATGAAGACAAAAAGTAGTTTTCACACATTTCGTACCTACTTGATTTGTCAAAATAAAATCTGTTCAGTTAAAACTTTTTGAGCCTTTGAGTAAAACTAATTGCAGAAAACGGTGAAGGTCAAACGAGGCGAACCTAACTATATTATTGAATTGATTTTAAATAAACTGTACTGTTAGAAATATTTGTCTTAGACTAAACTATTTTGCGAAACAGATATTGCATTAGGTACTTCTTTGAAGTGGATAAAAACTTGATATACACTACTTCAAGTACTCGTGCATTTTTTCTAATTGATTGCAAGTTATTGATACAATATGATTAAGAGACAAATAATTTCTATCAAAATTGAAGAGGAAGATTATGATATAATTCTTACTTTGGCTATTCTAGATTTTGATCTAAGTTTCAAGTAATTGATGCAAATGTGCTTTCATGTGTAAAATAAGACGAACAGATTATTTAAATTATCTTCCGTAAACAATTCAGTTGTAATTGAAGTGAGTCCGAAACGATCGCTGAAGATTTCTTTCCAGTTTGCAATGAGTAGAATAATTTGGCCAAATCAGATTCCAAACTTTCCAAACTGAAGTTGTTAAAAGTTTTAATCTAAGATAAAAGTTAACGGAAATCGCAAGACTTGTTCGCTTTGTTCGTTGTTTTTGAAATTCGCTTAGTTTTGTTAACACGATGAGTTGGGGTTATTAAAGTTATTAACTTACAAGTCGGTAGGAGTAGAAAGTAAAAAAACCGTTAAATTAATCTCTTACGATGATTTTATTTTATTTAACAAGTTTACAACGAATAAATGATCATTTAAATTGGAATCAGTGAACAATTTGAGTTTACCGTATGCATTTCAGCATTGTATCCTATGCAAATATTTCTCTCACTGCGTTTCAGTGGGCTGCACTTTACTTTACGTCCTACACTCATGCGAATGAAAATATCGATCGATATATCGATTATTCGATAAGTTAAATCGTTTGGTTAGTTAGGTAAGGTTACCTAACCTAACTAACCAAACGATATATCGAATGAAACAATCGAACAATCGATATTTTCATTCGAATGAGTGTAGGACGTAAAGTGCAGCCTTTCAGTGAATATATTCAACAGTTTGGTAGAAATTCCACTGTTTATATTGAAACTTGAATCTATTGACAATGTCATTCAAAGAATCTCTTCCACCTTACGGATTGTTTTCTTTATTCTGGCTTTCCTATGCCACAATATGCTGTAAAGTATATGTAAAGTACCCCGCGCTGAGACGTCTTTGCGGAAAAAATCTATTTTCAATATGTATAAGTTTGAAAATTTTACTTAAATTTTAAGTTAAGAGCATCCTGTGCGGTTTACACATGTAAAACTAATACTTTGCTAATAGTGTAATATTGGGAGCGAGCTGGCGTAGTGGTTAGAGCGCAGGACTTCAGTCCCTGAGGTCCCGGGTTCGATCCCCGCCAAGTCACCAATGGATTTTATCTAAGTGATAATGCCGCAACCCCTAGGTCTAGCCTGAAGTAATGTGAAAAACAATCCCAGGCTCGTGCCTAGCGTCCTTAGGACAAAAAAAATAGTGTAATATTTAAATATGTTTTTGGTGTGCAAAATTTCATCTTTCTGGACCGTTACACATGTTTGGATATTGGTTAAAAATTATTTTTTTCTATTTTTTTTTCGCTTGAAAACCCGCAAGGTTTTCAAATGATCTATTTAAGTTTGAGCCCAAAGGAAGAAAGCATACGTTGATTTCAGATATTGCCAATCAACTTTGGGTAAAATACATTTGTCAATCAACTTTGGGTAAAATACAACATTTGTCAATATACTTTGAGGAAAATACAACATTCTGAACAAATGTTAGTACAATATATGGTTAACATTTTTCACTAAAAATATCAGGATTGATACATTTCCCAAAAACTATTTGTCTATAGATGAATAACTTCTGTTCCCAAAATTATTTTTCTAATAAGAATATTTTAATTCATAAAAATCAGAAAATCCACTTCATACCATTTCATAAAGAGCTACACTCCCCCCACAAAAAATATATTCATAAACTTACCACAGACACGAACTTAACAGCTGTCAAGTGCTAAATGAGTTCGGAGTGTGTAGATTAAACCTATGTAAACGTACCAAGAGTACGTTAAAGCGAGTCAAGTTTTAATTGCCTTTGCTATTGAGGGCTCGCCTGGCTTAGACCAACACAATTACACCAAGGGAAGCTTTGTTGACTAAGACTGTCAGAAATGTGTTTGGTAAGAAAAAAAACACACTGTTCGGCTTTCAACAAAAAGTAATACTCTTGATTTCAAATAAAGTTGCACGAGGGAATCTGTGAGCAATTGGCACAATAGAGTTGAAAATGTATTTCCGACGAAAATCTTAATAATGTGTAATCGTTTTGCCATTGAAAGATTTTGTTTGTTTTAGACAGTTGTCAGGCGAATGCAACCACTAATCTAAATATATAAAAGGCAAAGCCATCACTGACTGACTGACTGACTGACTGACTCACTCACTCACTCACTCACTCATCACTAATTCTCCCACTTCCCATTTACCTAGGAGGCTGAAATTCGGTACACCGATTCTTTGGGCATTAAATAGGAAAACTAAGTAGTTTTTATTCTGATCGGGCTTTCGGGCTCCGCCCCAGTAGCTCTGGAGTTTCCCATGTTAACCTTATGGTTTTTCATATTTAAAAGGAATTTTTTGGTTCTGTTCTATGATTTTCAATATCATTAAAGTTACAAGGATTACCAACAGGGTAGCACTATTATTTTTTTAAATTTATGACTACAGCCAATTGGCAACCAAAAGGTGAGTGAGCGTAGCGAACGAACTTCAACCTGGACGTGATTGAGCCATGCGAACTTAACAAGTAACATCACTTGTGAAGTTAAACGAGGCAAAGCCCGCGGGTACAGCTAGTTTACAATAAATTAATACTTGATACTTAATATATAATACACGACCGAGTCGGTAGGAGTCTTAAAGCAAACTACGATGTACAACAAATTGTAGTCTATTTCATTGCAAAGATACTGCTTCATTGCCTGCAACCACTGGTAAATAAACAGGTTTTAAAGTAGTAGGTGTAAGTTAAATATGTTTAATCAACTTAACAAACTTGTGTAAAAGAAAAATGTTCTTCGGTTCAAGGAAACCTAAAGCATTTATTTTATTTCAACATTTTATATGTTTTACAAAACGAAGTTGTTCAGTTAGGCAAATCTAAATCGTTCTGCTTGAAAATCAATATAAAACGGAGAAGTGCATTTCATGTGTAAAATAAATTATTTGCATCTTCATAAAATTTTTTATATTTAGACAGCAAAGCTCGGACTCTGATTAATTTAAAACAAAGACGAAACAACAAAAGAGACGACGTAAAATGTTTTAGATTCTGTTGGGGCCCAGGAGCGTAAAAGTTTTTTGATTACGCGCTAGACTTCAGAGAATTTAAGTAAAACTCCACTAAAGTCGCAACTTATAACAGACTGACTTTTACAACTAAATATAAGAACTATTCCAGCATTCGATTTCAACTCCGTCTTAATAACCGGTCCATCTCGATAATCTTGAAGTTTCGTTATGTCATTAGCAGCTTCTGATGGAAACCACATGTATAAAAACCTAAACAAAACATTCAACAGGCTTTTCCGCTAATAATCACATAAAAAAATGGATACTAACCTTTAAAACTTGCTAGGTTATAAACCTGATATTAAAATCGTAGTAAACTCAAGTTGACAACTACCATTGCCTATATACCATAGTCATAATTTCTTTATAGTCTTAAGTGTTTTTAGTCATAAGTCACACTTTATGTAAACATTATAGTGACTGGTTAATTTGTGAAGCACGAGAAATTAGTCCTTTTAACTCAACGTGTTATTTCAGGGGGTTCATTAGGGGGGTTTCAAGAAGAGGGAATGGGGGTTTTTCTGCCGATGTAAAAATTTGCCCTAATGAAGGTGGTGTAAGTGAGAAAGAGTAACACATTAAAATGTGTGTAAATGCAAGTGAAACATGTATGTTTCACTTGCATTTCCTCCAACCTAACCTAACCTAAAATGCACATCTTCCTATTAATCGTGTACAATAATCCGTGGTTGACGTGTCTGGACCTATAGTCCGTATGGTGGAACCTGTCTCCTGACCACCGTCTGCTAGTCATTGCTGGAGACTGTCATTGCTCGGGTCAGTTCTCAGGTAGCCAGGTTCCATCATACAGCCTATAGAGTCCCTTCCCAACCTTCCTTAAAACTTAACCTAATCTACATCAACTACTAAGTTTCCATGGCTGCCATATTCTCATAAGACCGCAACATTTTAACATTTGTTCAGTGATTGTAAGGTATCTTACCCATGAACGCGGAGGGTATTGAGGTAAGGAAGAGCTTCTGGCTGCGGACTGGCACCCCCGTCTCTGGATCCTGCATTGCCCGTACCAGCCCCTCCATCTGTCAACATCAACAAACAATTAATAACATAATACTACAGTGAATAGAGTCATAGACATAGACTATTTTATTCAAGAGTTAGGTACAAATAATACAATGCACATCTCAATCGTCAAATACAGTATATGGAGTAGTCTAGTAAGCTTTAGCTTTGAAAACAAAACAAAATAATTAGTTAAATTTATTTTATTCTAAACAAGATCTAAACAAATAAATAATAATGCCATGTTTAATAAGATCAGGCAGACAGGAATTCTTCTTCAATACTATAAAACTCGCCTTCCACCAAATAAGTTTTCAGCTGTTTCCCAAAACCTTTAAAACCCAACCTTGAACTGCACTGCTTTACTTCTTCAGGAAGCTTATTTGCATTCCTTTCAGAGAGGGTCAAGACGAACATGGAGTACGAAGATCTCCTCCATGCCTAGTGGGGTATCTATGAGATTGACCAACCGATGGAATATCCTTCAGATGATTTACTGCAGACATTATTGCTCTGTAGATTAATATAGAAGGCAAAGTTAAAATGTTGTTCTCCCGGAAGACCCTCTGCAATAATTGAGTGGTAAGCCATTGAAGATATGCACTGCCCTTTTTGGACGGTAAAGACTTTATCAGCATGGGAAGAACCACCCCACAATGAATTAATCAGGTAATATTCGTACCAAATTACCGATCGTAGCAATCAGAGAAATAAGCTGTGTTTAACAATAAATAAATCAAATATAAAATATAAATATTTCTTTGCAGTTTTCAAATTTAGAATTAAAGTTAAGTTAAATAGTTTAAAAGGTCAAAATACTGGTATACTGAAAACTGGTTAGTTTAGTTTACTGGTATACCGAAAACTGGTTAGTTTAGTTTACTGGTATACTGAAAAACACTTTTCAAGGATCCACCGTCCATGTATAGCTTCATATAAAAACTTGGTGAAATAACGATTGTATTAATAAAGTAATTGTTTCGCGATGCAATCTTTTCTAATGTTGACTATTTACAAGATTATTGTGCAGGGGTATTAAACACAGTAAATTAAAACCATTAGACTTCTCATCCCATTGTAAATTTTAAGGCTCGTTTTTCATGTCTAGTTCATGTACGCCACACTGGGCGCTAGTGTCGACGAAATTTTGTTTCTATTATTTTAGGACTAATTTCTTGATTTACGCTTTACTGTATGGTTAAATAACTAGGGGACAATTTATTGTTTATGAATACATCGTATTATTTGGTTAAACGAGGTTCTAAATGACTGTATTAACGGGAAACAAATTGTAAACAAAACACGACCTCTACATAAACCGTACAGAACTAACAATAAAATTGTCTTCAGCTGTTCCATTAGGGTGAGAAATCTACTAAGGGAGTATGTTTTATCTATGTTAAAACATTACTTTAGTGGAAAGGCAACATTATTCGCTACAACATAATCATTTTTTGCAATAACTCTGTGAAATAAATCTGTAGTAATTTGAATAAATACACAAATAAACTAAGCAATGACAGAATTGTAAACGTATTATTTTTGGCACAATAAGGTAACAAGAACACGAAAGTATAACAAAAACTGGAGCAGTACCATAATGGCTGCCTGTGGTTTATAGCAGGCCCTTGAGGGGAGAAAACCGCATTTGTCACCACACACTGGACACACCACCGACATCAGCTGTTTGATTACAGCAACAATGTGTTGAAACAGCTGATCACTAAACAACACTAAAGTAGTTTACATCACAGAGCGATGATGAAGATCTGGAGATAGCTTCTTGGATATTTCGTGTCGCTGGTGGCCATTTTGTAGTATGGATTTTGTGGTATGGAATTTGATGAAGTGGAAAAATATGAAAAAAGTAAAACCCAAAGATTTATGTTAAGAAACATTGATTTATGTGTACTTTTAAGACTTTTTGTCAGGATGGAAGACTTACCTGAATTGGAAAGAGTCCAAACTGGCACAGGAAACAAGAAACTTTACACTATATACACAAAACGTTAAAATATTTCACTGTCAGCATTTTCAATTGGGTCAGGTAAGAGTTGCTTGGTTGAATTTCTGTCAAAAACAGTTACTTATTCTATTGTTTTATGTGCAGTGTAAAGTTGTGTGTTTTTTGTGCCAGTATGGATCTTTCCCATTCAGGCAAGCCTGCCATCATCACAAAAAAGTCTTAAAATTTTAGGCACCTTGTGTAAAGTTCTATGTTACATTCTTAACCTAAAACAGATTTATGCATGTGTTAACTTTACAAACAATAGATTTTACTTGAACACTGACAAAAAAAGGGCTTCAACTAGAGCTTTTGGCAAAACTGAAAGAGGTATAACTCTGTATTGTACACTACCATACCACCTTACCAACCTAACCAATGACACGTTTGGTGTTTTCAATCTCTAACTAATGCTACCTCCAGATGTAATATAGCTCAGTGTTGACACCACACCCACTAGAAACACTACTGGCAAATCAGCTGTTTTCTGGCAGCAACAATGGGAGGAGACAGCTGATCAACGCTAACGTAGTTGTCACCGAGGTGTGAAAACTGTTTCAGTGGCTGTGAACTCGTTTTAACTACTCCAAACGTTGTTCATACTGTATATAATGGTAAACATTAAATTTAACTACGAAATGAAAGACCACATGTTTCTGAGAGTTTTTTACGTCCCACCTTAACATTCTAGAACCCAAGGCTGTAGCACGGGACCTTTTTCAAAATACTAGGCCTGGAAAGTTGCGGCATTATCAATTAAAAAAAAATACATTGGGGATTGGCGCGATTTGTTCATGGGACCTTGAGGGCCGAAGCCCTTGGATATATCACTACACCAACTCACCCCAAATGTTCCTTAGAGCACCTCTAATAAAGATAATAAGTGACACAATGACTTAAGTGTTTTTACCACAGTTTTATTACTTACCACATCATGTTAAACCAACACCTTGATGACCAGCACGTCCGAGAAAACTCGAACAAATTTCAAACAAAAACAAATAAAAAATGTCCCTGAATTGTCCAGTGAGGAGCAAAGTCTCACACACAATCAAAAGTTACTGCAGCAGAATGTTGAGGTTATTTATAAAACTATCAATATAATTTTCATTTTCGTACCCAAGATTAGCTTTAGTCCAATCAATAACGCTACAGCTGATAACGTAATGTTTACATAGTGATAAAGTGATGCAGTCCTCGGTGAAAACTGAACAAAAAAACTAATAACAATAACAAATAGGTTTCAATTTGTTTATTTGTTTGTTTATGTGAGGACAAACTCTTGCATAGTTTTATTGAGGATACGATTTTTAGTCTATCGAAAATATTTCTTCAATATCAAAATTTACTGGTAAAAATTCAACTGTTTAAAATGTCAGGTGGTTTAGTTTATTCAAATTATTAATTTAATAAATATATATATTTAACTCATAATCAAAATACAAACATGCAACGAAAAAATTACTATCCGAACCTTACTTACCCTGCATGCCATGACAATTTCAAAGCAGACAACGAATTTTAATATTTGTTTATTCCGAAAAATCATACAGAAGTAATTTATATTCAAAATCTGTTTAATAAATAATATAAGAGTTAGAAAAGTTCAATACCCCAGAACAAAAGAGAGGTCAACAAAGAGTGCAATCTAAAGCTGCATTCAGTTTTACGTTTATGTAAAGTAGTGTTGTTCGATTTTATGTTTTCGGATTTATGATTTATCCCAATAACACCGAAAATGCTGTAAAACGAAATCGCCTCGAAACAGTCGAAATATTCCAGAGGTTGATGACTCTTATCAATTCAAAACTTGAATGTTTAAAGATAAAGTTAACTAGATCAAATCATTAGGTAGATGATTATACAGTTTCAAAATGAAGGGTAATTTATTTATAGCCTTATAGTTTTGGAATAGTTTTATTTACACATAGTCTTAGCTATATAAGTAAACTTAAGGAGTAATTTCAAACGTTTTGTACAATGAATCTGATCTGTAAGCTATAGATAATTATAGATAATTATTTTTACAAATATTTTCAACTAAAATTAAACAATACAAATTTACAACTATGAAAATCTTTGACCTGTATTAATTCATTAACAGCTTATCACATATTAATTGTGCAATTCATTGAATATGCAGGACTGTCGATTGGTTGATTATTAATTCATTGCCTGGAAGTGGACTTGTTCAAAAACAGATTTCGTTTGCTGGATTATATTTGTTTATTCAATTCGAAGAGGACTGTCAGCACCGAGCAAATAATACAATAATTGAATTGCATTTAAGTACCTAATGCCAATAGCAATTCCTCTGATTGAAATTTTATTTTTACAAAGTTCCTGTATTTATAATTTTACTGTCAATGCGGTTTCGACTTCCATTACTAGGGAAGGTATTGTAATCACAGATTGCTAAGGTAAAAAATATTACTAATAAGGGAAGTGTTTTTGATTATTCTTTACATCTGTCTAGATTTTAAAATATTGCAGATTTACTATTGCTCTTACAGTTAATATAGCTTCTTTTTGCGGGGAATGATTAAAAATAAAATCAGCTAATTTACTTCAACAAGGGAGATTCGGAGGAAATAGTTTACTAAGTATTTCACGTTAGAGAACCCGCACACTCTGGTATATTAAATATCACAAGGAACAAAAGTGAAATGCCAGGCTCTGGGGCACTATTCTATACCCAACTTAATAACTTCTTGATCCGCATTGTACGTGTTATTAAATTTACAGAAAGTAAATAAAAGAAACGTCTTATAACACTTAAAACATGTATTTACGTTTATACTGTTACTCACAAGACGGTAAATATACAGAAAAGGTACCTAGTAAGTGTCGGTAACCATTTACCACTTACCACTTTACTACTTACTTACTTAATACTTACCACTTACTACTTTTTTTGTATATTTACCGTCTTGTGAGTAACAGTATAAGCGTAAATATATGTTTTAAGTGTTATAAGACGTTTCTTTTATTTACTTTCCTTATATTCAACTT